GGAGTGGTGTGTGTGAATGAGGGAAAGATGGACACCATCCGTTGGTTTTTGCTGCACTCCCTCAAAACTTCGTGGGCAGCTGGTGCACAGCTGCTGCGGCTGGCTGACTTCCGAAGGCCTCCTCTCAGACAGCCTGTTGGCTCAGGCCTCTCTCTACGCCTGTTTCAGCATCTTGCAGGCTCACCCAGGTTTATTTGCATGATAGTAGGACACAGAAGCACTTTTCAGATAGTTGCTGTTGTCTCAATGGCCAAAGCAAGTCCCGTGGCTAGGCCCAGAGTCATGGTGGGAGAGCACTAGCAACGGGCGAAGATACCAGAAAGAAATTACTGTGTCCACTTTTACAAACAGTAATTATGATAGTAATGTAGATCTGTTTACCGAGAATTATTATCTGCCTATAAAAATCAGACTGAGAACAGGTAGTATAATTTGACTAGTGTTTTTAAAGATATGTTGGTCACAGCTGGAGTAATATCTCCCTCATATAAACTTAATCAATCGGTGAAGCACACAGTTGAAAAAAGACAAATAGTTGGTGATTTAACTCCAAAAATATTAGAAGTCTTTAATTGAGTTGGGAGAGGCTATTGTCATTAAATAAGAGAACTCAAATGGGAAGGGAGCAAATGTTCCCATTTTCTCATGTAAACAATGATAGAAATGAAACAAATGATTACACTCCAGCTTAACAGATATTCCTTTGAATTATATGCTGTGTTTTAGAATTAGGCCACAGAAAAGTTATCTTCAGTGTTTCATCCCTCGTTTAAAGATCTGAATTTCTAAAATCCACCAGTGTGACCTCTGAAAGGAATTAATGAAGCATCACAGAAGTATATAGTACTAATTATGCAATTTGTATTGTTAGATATGGTGCTTTCTTTAAAAAATGTCTTTATGGTTTTTGTAAGAATTCCATAGGGGAACATATTTTAAATTACCTGTCATTTCTATCCAGAAGTTGTCATTTTTATTGATGAACTCATATCAGTCATTATTCTGTGCATATTTAATGATGGATGGATAAACAGACATTAAAGGACAGAAGTAATGAGGAGAGGTAGGTGTATGATATATGCAACTTATATGCAACTTACTCTCAAACATTAAGAATGTATTTTCTAAGAAAGGAGATACTCTGTGTATTTCCTAAGAAAGAGGATATTCTCTTTTGTTACCATTATACAATTTTCAAGTGGTGATTTTTCTAAAGAAGAGCTTTTCCCTTCTCTCCCCAACCTTCTTCACTTTCAAATTATTTCTCTGAGCTCTTGGATTCTTTTTATTCAGTGTACTATTTTTGATGCTCAAAGTGTCCCAAAATTTACCAATGAAGCCCTTCAAGGTGGCTCCTCTATCCTGTTGCTATGTCCCCATCAGGTTTTGAGTATTGCCTTGTGGTTTGTTTGTTGTTGTTGTTTTTTTGACACAAAAAGATGTCCAGGCCCACTTTGTACTTCTCTTGCCCTAGACTTGGAATTAGCTCCTTCTCTTAAGAAGCCTTAGTTCCTTTGAGTGGGGAATGGTATTTAGAAACCCAGATCTAAGCCTTCGGTGTGCTCATTGGTAACAGGGTGTTGTTCCTTCAAAGCCTTTAATGAAAAAAGCTCAATATATTTTTTTAAATAAATGATGAGTACATGTTAATACTTGCAGTTCAAATATAACACCACAGGATCTGTCTGTACCTTCCCCTGTTTCATATTTTGATATTTGGGTATTGCCAGGTCTCCTCTGTAGGCCTTGCACTCTTTTGCACTCCAACAGCATAGGAAAGTACATGTCCCCACACCCTTACCAACAAATAGAGAGTTGTCAAGCTGTTGAGTTTTTGCCAATCTGAAATGTAAGTAGTTGTACCTCTAAGTAGTTTTGATTTGCTTCTCTTATTACAAGTGAACCTAAGCATTTTTTTTTGATGTTTAAGGGCTAATTGGATATCTTTGTGTACATACTGTCTTTTCGTGTCTTTAGCCCCTTTTTTTTTTTCTTTAGGTCTTTCTTGATTTTCAAAATTCTTTATGTATTTTAGGAACTTATCTGCCTAATATATAAAGAGCTCTTAAAATTGTTTTAAGAAGAAAATTCTTTAAAAAAATTATGGTGTTTGTGGTAAATGTTTTCTTCCAGTTTACCATATGTTTTGGCTTGTAGTGTATGTGTGCTTATTAATTTTTAAAAATTTATGATGTTTTCTTCACACAAAAGGTTTTCATCTCTCCATTTTTTATTGCATCTGGGTTTTTGCCATAGTTAGAAAAAGCCTTTTCCACACCCAGGTTTTAAATGTATTCACACATGCTTTCTTCCAGTACTTATGGTTTCCATTTTTACAATTAGAGCTCTTCTCCTTTTGGAGTTTTCCTAGTTTAAGGTATGAGGTGTGGATCCAATTTAATCTTTTTCCGAATAGCCATCCAGTTGTTTGGATAGCCATTTGGGCTTTCTGTATTGTTTCCAGACTCGCTATTCTGTTCAGCTGATCAAGGTGTCTAGTATTTTGTCTAAAAGTGCACTGCATTCCTCACATGTCAGCAGTTGCTTGGCTCAGGGAGGCTCTCTAAACACTCCTTGTCTATGTGGAGGCTTCTGTGGAGGCTTTCTGCTGAGAAGGGGGCTTACCGGAAGGACTTAGCTGACTGATTTGTCAACAAGTCCCAAACACCCCCATTTTTACAAGTTTTATTTTGTTGTAGTTCCTTCAGAACTATATTATGAAATAATAACTTAAGTTTAACTTAAAAATTAAGCAGTAAGCGTGAAAAGCACTTAACATCATATCTAGCACAAACAAAACAAAATACTCATCACACAGTCATTGACTGGTCTTAGCAAATATTGTGTTTGATTCCTGATAAGTAAGGAGGCAACAAACAGTGAAGTAAGCTATTGGCAACATCTGGAAGTGGGCAAATCTGAGATTGGCTGCTGTTAAATTTAGCAACGGAGATAGTAAGATGACAAATGTCTGAGAGGCAGTCAGGTTGCTGGCTTGAAACTGGACTAGGCAAGGTCAGGAAATTAGATGGCAGGGAACAGAGGTGCCAGGAGAGAAACACTTGCTGTTCTTTATCTGCTAGACCCTTCTACATCTTCTCCTCTTTCTCCTTCATCTTTTTTAAGTTAATGCGAATGTATTAGAATGTTATTTGGATATCACAGAACCATGCTCAGAAATAGGATGAAACCAAGGTAATAGCTTTTTAAAATTTTCTTTTTCAATTACAGTTTACATTCAATATTATTTTGTATTAGTTTTTCCTTTTTTTTTTCTCTTGTTCTGATTGGTTGTTTTTTGCATCCTATGTTCCAAGTCATTGATTTGATTCTTGACTTCATCCACCGTACTGTTGTTTCTCTATAAATTGTTCTTTACTTCAGTTAGTGCATCCTTTGTTTCTGGCTGGATCTTTTTTATGCTGTTGAAGTCCTCACTAAGTTCTTTGAGCATCCTTGTAACCAGTGTTTTGAACTCTGCATCTGATAGATTGCTTATCTCCATTTTGTTTAGTTCTTTTTCTAGAGTTTTGGTTTGTCCTGTTGGGCCATGTTTCCTTGTCTCCTCATTTTGGCAGCCTCCCTGTGTTTGTTTCTACGTATTGGGTAGAGCTGCTATGACTCCATGTCTTGGTAGTGTGACCTAATGTAGTAGATGTCCTGTAGGGTCCAGCGCACAGCCTCCCCTATCGCCCAAGCTGTGGTGTGCCCTTCATGTGGGCTGAGTACACCCTGCTCTTGTGGTCAAGCCTTGGTTGCTGTTGGCAGATCAATGGGAGGGATTTACCCAGGCTAGTCAGCTGCAAGGACTGGCTGTGATGTAAATGGTATTTTAAAGTTATATAACATTTCAGCCACTGTGGAAAGCAGTATGGATATAACCTCAAAAAATTAAAGATGGATCTGCCTTTTGAACCAGTGATCCCACTTCTGGGAAGATATCTGAAGGAACCCAAAACACTAGGTGGAAAGAACATAAGCACTGCTGTATTCATCGCGGCGTTACTTACAATCGCCAAGATACGGGAGCAGCCCAAGGGCCCATCAGTAGATGAGTGGATAAAACAACTATGGGACATTTACCCAGTGGAATACTACTCGGCCATAAAAAGAAAACAAAACAGAACATTGTGACATTATGGATGGACCTGGAGACCACTATGCTAAGTGAAATAAGCCAGTTAGAGAAAGATACATACCATATGATTTCACTCATATGTGGAATCTAATGAACAAACTGAACTAACGAGAAAAATGGGAACAGACTCATAGATGGAGCGCAGGATGACAGCTAGTGGGGGTGGGGGAGGTTAGAGGGTGGAGGGATTGAGTACAGAGGAAAAAGGACTCGTGGACACGGACAGCCGTGTGGTGAGTGCTGGGAGGAGGGGGGTATAAGGGGACTAAATAGTAATGAAAAAAATAAAAGTTAAATAAAAAAATTAAACTCTTAAAAAACAAAGCTATATATTATTTCATGGAATAGATTTGATTTACTTATATTTTCTTTTTTATGCATCTTTTTCTCATTAATCCAATTGAGATTATCAAGGGAAGTCACCATACTGAATCATTATCCCTTTTCCTCCTGCAATGACTATAGAGAATATTGTATGTGTAGATGATTAATAACTATTTTGCTTGCTCTTCTATTTTCAGTCTAATATTATAGGAACTATTTGCTATAGACCAGACCCAAAAAATATTATCTGCAGCTTACTCAGAGTCATTGTATCACCATAGTCTTTCCACCTAGAAAAAGCGTCCCTGAGGAAACCTTTGCATGTGTTTTAGGGGGGGACTATCAATAGCCTGAAATTGTATGAGAAATATTTTCAGTGAACATTTGTACATTTCCCTATAGTCTTCATAGATTTTTTAAGAAGTCTTTATCCAATAAAAAACCATGGATCCAGGAGCATGTGGATGGAGATCTATTCTTTAAACTTATCTGAAATCAAAGACGTTGTATTTCACCTTTTATTTTTCTTGGTTTTCAGGAAGGGATGAGACCATGCAGCCTGCAAAACCATCTTTCCTTGAGTACTTTGAACAAAAAGAAAAGGAGAATCAGATCAACAGCTTTGGCAAGAGTGTTCCGGGCCCACTGAAAAACTCTGCAGATTGGAAAGTGCCCCAGGATGGAGACTATGAGTTTGTAAGTAGTGCTGGAAGTAAATGGCTGTGTCTGCTGAGAAAGCTATTTGAAATATCACACATCCAATTCTGTCATTTCACTGAAACGCCTGAGCATTTTCCCATCGGTTCCAGTCTTCCCTAAACCCCACTCCCGCCCGAGAAGCCACTCCCAGACTGAGGGCCTCCTGAGTTTGACACAGCATTTTGACTGACACTTGAGCAGTTCTGGTTCTCCCAATGGATGGCATCTTTTTCACTTTAAAAATCCTTTATTCACTTGCCATTTTTCTTTTGTAGAGTTTGAAATTGTTAATGGAAAAAGAAATATTCAGTCATCAACTGAAAATGTGCTTTCTTTAATAGTTTGTTTGAGACCGTGAGTTTTTATTTTAGAATTAGGCCGGAGGGTAGTTAATGCTGTTTTGTAGTCTTTGTTGTTTTGCTAGTCATTATCCTAATTTTAGGGTCTCTGAGAGGATTATTCTGAATTTTGCCAAGGATGGATATTTAGTTGTTCCACAGTTTCTTATGAAAAACTGGGTGTATTTTTTCCTCTCTGCTGTGGAACATTCTCTCTCAGCCACAGACACTTGTTAATGTTCACAGAAATTTAATGAGTAGAGGCAATAAAAAATTTGGAAAGAAAAAGGAAGCTAAGGAGTGTGCGTTCCTTTTCTGCTTATTTTTAGAAAAGAATTTTCTCTTTAAGAATATTTAATTTTTAAATTCTTTTAAAAAATTTTACATTTTAAACTCTGTCTTCTTCTTCTTATTGTTGATTATAAGAGCTTAGTTCAGGTGTTACGTTTGGATTCTGAGAGGCTTTCTAACCCTGACTTTCCACTACCCCCACCGACTGGCGCAGAGGAAATGATGTCATTCTTCCATAACATAATCTCTACTTTGTAGAGTGGCAGGAATGTCATAGTATTACAGTTAATGATAAAGATCTTTTGAGGACCAAAATAACTCACCTGGAGTTATTTAACTAATTAGGCACTGAACCCATATAAGAACCCAAGTTTAATTTGTTTTAGCATCCGTTCGTTCATTCATTCATATATTCATCATATATACATCATCATCTGTCGTTACTTACCTATTTGTTCACTCATTTATTTCTTCATTTTCTGAGTACCATGTGAGCTTGACACTTCTAGGAATATAGTAATGAATAGAACAGCCAAAAATCCATCTCTCATGGAGGTTTCATTCTAGAAGATGGGAAATAAGGAATAAAATATTTAGTGTGTCAGATAGTGGTGGAAAATATAAAACGGGAAAGGGAGACGGGTGGGATAGTGGGGTAAAGAGAGAGAGGGAGGTAGGGGAGGGGTAAGGGAGGGGAAAAGGCAGAGAGAGGATAGCAACTTAAAGCCATGACGTAAGGAAGTTCACAGGCTGTACCCCCAACATAGCAAATCAGGATCTCTGGAGAGAGGTAATGCTCAATAATCTGTTTTAACCTCTTTATGATGATTCTAACCCACTAAATTCATGTAGATTTCTTCTTTCTTTTCAGTTAGATGCTATAGAAATCCAGAGATAAGGATGTATTTATATTTTATTAACGTTGCACAATTTTTAAGTTTTCTTTTTACTCCCCTTGTGAGTCTCCTGTACTCTTATTGGAGGTATCAGCTAAGGAAAATGTACATTTGTAAGTGACATCTGGCAAAGAAAGAGCCAGTCCACTGAGCGAAGAAAGTATTCTGAATAATCTCACGAAGTTCAAAGAAGGGTGTGTGTCAGAATAGCTGACATGTTTCCCTCAGCAGTCTCTTATAGAGACTTTCTGATTTCCTGACAGGCAGTATTTAATTATGGGAAAGATATTCTCTTTCTTCCTGTGAAGGCAATTGCTATTTTGAAATGAACTTTTTGCCCAAAATGGCAAATAGGGAGTAATTTAATCAGGAATGCAGGATGTAATGCTGACAGAAATCTTTATATTTTCATTCGAAACTCAATACTTGTTGCATTTCTAAAACTGAATTGCCTCACTTGCCAAGTTGAAAATGTAACATAGACTGCCTTTAATGTTTAATATTTATAGTGATTAAATGTAAAAAGAGGTTCTTGAATATAAAATATTTTCTAAAATTGGTATTTCATATTCTATAAACAGATTGCATTCTTGGAAATGAATGCTACTTTTGTGAGAATTCAGACCCTCCCATTCTGCCATTTATAAAGCCACAAAAAGCTATAAACTTGAATCCACTTTGACTCATGTATCTTCCAAAAACACACTGTACGATTTTAGTCTCAGGTGGCTGGGTGCCGAGAGTGATGAACAAGACAAACAAGGTTCGTGCTCTCCTGGGGCTTAAGTGTGGTGAGGGAGGCAGACATTGAGTCAGGCCATACATCAGTTCGGGTAATAGTAAGTTAAAGAAAAAAAGCGCAGTAAAGAGACACTGTGAGGGGAGGCCATGGAGAGGGATAGCACATTCAGCTACGACCTGAAAAAGAGGGGAAGCAAAGCCGTGGGAGGAAGGTGGAGGGTCCAACAAGTACCCTGGCTCTGAAGCAGGACATGGTGGGTGTATGTAAGGAAGGAACGAAGTCCCTGTGGCTGGAGCAGAGTACCACGCAGGAGAGCAGTTCAAATGCAGATGCATCAGCAATCACGATACATGTGGGGACACTAGAGTCTCCTGCTGAAAGACAGAGACTCGGGGTAAAAAGAGCCGTCCAAATCCAGCTAAATACGGTTCATAAGAGAGTAAAATATCACTGAATACTTAACAACAGAGGAATGGAAAAAGATACGCTAGGCAAATACTTAAAAAAAGGTGAAACAACATTAATATCAAATAAAATAGAATCCAATAAAAAAATGTTGTATGGGAAAGAGATATATATTGCTAAAAGGTGTAGTTGATCAAGTTTTTATCCAAAAACTGATAGAAATAAAAAGAAATAGCAATGAGAAAACTCATAGTTGAAGACTTAAACATTCTCAAAAAGTGAACTTTCAAGTAGAAAAAAACAGGACTAATATAATTAACAAGGTTGATTGAAAACAGAAATGGGAACACTTTTCAAATATCCATGAATATTTTAAAACATGTGGAACATGTCAAAATCTGACTATGTCTTAAGGTTCTTGAAAAGAAATCTCAGCGCAGAAATCATACAGGCCACATTCACTGACAGTTATACAATGAAATGAGAAATTAACAATAATGAAGTAGCCAAAGCCACTTTATCCATCTAAATATCTGTAAGTAGGTCTCTAAATACTTGTTGCTTTAAGGATAAAATCAAAATAGAAATTTTAAAACTATTTAGAAGTGAATTGTAAAACTATAAAATCCTGATCCCTATAATTCAGACTTGTAGGATGCAGCAAAAATGGTACTCAGAAGATTTACAGCCTTAAACATACTTTATTTTTAGAACACAAGAAAAATTGTAATTGAGATAAAAGTAGGATTAAGATAAAAGCAGGATTTAGTGAAATAGAAAACAAAAAAGCTGATCAATGAAACCAAAAGTTTGTTTTTTTCAAAGGACCTGACATTTGGTAGATTTGATCACCTTAATATAGAAGATACTAATAAACTCTTCTAGAGGAAAGAAGGAGAGGGTGTTGTTATCAGAGATAGAAGAATGTTAGAATGATAACAGAATGTTATTATTTATAATTTTGTATCATCACATTTGAAAACCTAGGTAAATAGATGTTTAAACATTGTGACATGATTACTTCCTATATAGAAGTATAAATGCTTAAAAATATCCAAGATATTTCTGAACAAGAAGAACAATGGGTTTGGACTTATTTCCAGATGTCAAAACTTAACAAAACTGCCCAGCCAGTGTGGCTTGGTTGGTTGAAGTGTCATCTGGTGCGCTGAAAGGTCACAGGTTCGATTCTCGACAGGGCCCATACCTAGGTTACAGAATTGGTCCCCGGTTGGGGGCGCACATGGGAGGCAACCAGTCAATGTTTCACATCGATGTTTCTCTCTCTTTCCCTCTCTCTGTAATCTATATCTATATCTATCTATCTATCTATCTATATGAAATTTAAAAATGTATAAAACCATAATAGTGAAAGCATTGTGATATTGGCACAAAAATACAATATAGACCAATGGTACAAAACATAGAGTTGAGAAACATACCCGTGTGTATATAAGAATTTATTATATAATAGTGATGAAATACAAAAAAATGCAGACAGTGTGATTCCCTTTGTGTAAATTTTTGAAAAGCCACAAACCAAGCTACATATTTCTATATGTAGCCACACATGTAACTGCATAGATTAAAAAAAGAGAATATAAAATTACTTCAGTCTAACACTCTCCCAACTGAGCTATTTTGGTGAGCTTAGAGAATATAAAATTACTTAAGACTCATTACCTTTGAGGAGAGGAACTTTAGTTTTATCTGTTTTTACAGAGAGAATATGTGACTATATTAATGTATTACTTGCTTAAATTTAAAAAAAAAAACCAGTTTTTAAAACTTCTACTTAGATTGTCCCAGTTTTAGTCTGGTGTTGACCAGAGCATCCACAGATCTAGATGAACAGTCCTTTTCAGTGTTACTAACTTTGCAAGTATTGTTAGTTATTAGCTCTTGATATCCTTAGGTTTTGGAGTAAGTTTCCTATTTATTCAAATGAAGCTGTTTCCAGATTTCTTAGGACTTATTCTATAAAAAGAGTTGATAGTAGCTGGCCCCCACACACTCGTTCAGTCTGTTCATTGAAGTCCTCTATGTGTGCTTGGTGTGAACAGGTAACACTGCAAGATCCTTGATAGCTGCAACTTCCTTAGACTCATCTTTGTATTCCTAACACCTCGCCATTGTCTGATTTAAAGTCAGTACACTATTTTCAGTTATAATCAGACATTGTCTCTGAATTAATTCAACACGTGCAGTTACTGCCCTGAGAGAGTTCATAGTGTAGCAGAAAAGATGATCAAATAATGTTGATGCATTGTGCTAATATTAATAGCTTACATTTATTGAGAATACACTATGTGGCATTGGTCTAAG